ACACAGATGAACACCCGTACTGCTAGTATCAGGTATAAACTAAACACACAGATGAACACCCGTACTGCTAGTATCAGCTATAAACTACACACAGATGAACACCCGTACTGCTAGTATCAGGTATAAACTACACACAGATGAACACCCGTACTGCTAGTATCAGGTGTAAACTACACACAGATGAACACCCGTACTGCTAGTATCAGGTGTAAACTACACACAGATGAACACCCGTACTGCTAGTATCAGCTATAAACTACACACAGATGAATACCCGTACTAGTAGTGTCAGGTATAAAATAAACACAGATGAACACCCGTACAAGACGTATCAGGTATCAACTACAGACAGATGAACACCCGTACAGCTAGTATCAGGTATCAACTACAGACAGATGAACACCTATACTGCTAGTATCAGGTATCAACTACAGACAAATGAACACCCGTACTGCTAGTATCAGGTATCAACTACAGACAGATGAACACCCGTACAAGAAAGAAGTATCGGATATAAACTACACACACATGCACCAGAATTGAGCTTCACAATGTATCATTTATATTATTGTTGTATCAAGTATATTTTACTTGTATCATGCATATTCTTGTCGCATCAAGGATATTCTTGTTGCATCATATATATTCTTTTTGTATACATATATATATATATATATATAGCCCTATTGCATCATGCATATTGTTGTTGTATCATGCATATTCCTGTAGTATCATGTATTTTTTTGTATCGTGTATATTATTATTGTATCCTGTATATTCTTGTTGTATCATGTATATTCATGTTGTATTATGTATATACTTGTTGTATCATGTATATCCCTTTTGCATCATGCATATTCTAGTTGTATCATGTATATCCCTATTGCATCTTGCATATTCTTATTGTATCATATTTTTGTTGTATCAATTATATTCTTGTTGTATCATGTATATTCTTGTTGTATCATGCATATTCTTGTTGTATCATGTATATCATTTTTGCATCATGCATATTCTTGTTGTATCATGTATATCCCTATTGCATCATGCATATTTTTTGTTGTTGTATCATATATGTTCTTGTTGTATCATGTATGTTCTTGTTGTATCATGTATATTCTTGTTGTATCACGTATATTCTTGTTGTATCATGTGTAAACTAAAAGCAGGTAATAAGTATTCTCGATGTTGCAAGTGGAAAACAAACACTGCTACATGCGTTCTAGGAATCAGAGATGGTCTGTCATAGATGTAGCGTATATCAACCTGGTGTGCACTATCAAAACTGTGCTATTTATGCTCTATCAGGGCGCGTTGCTACCTTCTCTATCCGTCACAAAGTATATTCATCTCGTTCTTATTCTCGAGACCCGTGATGATCCGGGTTAGAATTTATCTTCAGCAACCCATGCTTGTCGTAAGAGGCGACTAGCGGGATCGGGTGGTCAGGCTCGCTGACTTGGTTGACACATGTCATCGTATCCCAGTTGCGTAGATCGATGTTCATGCTGTTGATCACTGGATTGTCTGGTCCAGACTCGATTATTTACATACCGCCGCTACATAGCTGGAATATTGGTGAGTGCGGTGTAAAACTAAACTCACTCACTCTTATCCTCGTGTTTACTAGTATTGTGGTGATATGTATAAACTACGCACATATGAACACACAATCTAGTAGTTTGTCTCGTAACATCTTATATTTCAATAAAACCATATTTATTGTTAATATAAATTATTACAAAACTTTATTTAAACCCATCTCCGTTTTACTGCTCGTGTTAATCATTCGTGTTGTGAAGCGCCTTAAAATACCTCCCACCCTTCTCTCTCCGTCTGCGTGCAACATGTCTGACAGTCGATATTTATGTATACAATCAGATGATATTTACACTTGCGCTGGAAACAAATATCGAAGGTTATACAGAATGATATACAGACATTAAAATATCGCATTTCTTTGAATAAATGTTAAATATACAGTTTCCTGGTTACATGGCGTTTGGCGTTATTGGTTCATTCCTGCAGATCTCTCCGTGTTCAGAGTATTGAGGGCGTGATTGTACACTCACTGTACACATTGCAAAACATTTTTAAAAATAAACACTTTTGGAATATGTTTATTATAACATCGCGGATATATGCGTTATAGTGAGGACAACATACAATTTGTATACACATACGTAAAGAGTATACAATTAAATCCATATATTTTATGGGAACACAATATGTCGGGGATGGTGACTTATGTGTTCATTTTAACGACTAATCTGTTGAATTTGATATTTGAACGAGTGCACAACCAGGAGTGAAAAAGCACTGTGTAAGATCACAAGATGCGATTAAAATGGCGTTTGAGAAGGAAGGCCAACTCAAACGTATTATTGTTTTGTATGCAAAATAGTCTCATCGAGCTCGGCCGGACGTACACCACATACATTGTGCTGTTTTCTTCAGTGTCAAACCCAATTCTACTTTCAGATGAATATACTATTTCTTCACTAAACAGTATAAAACAGTTTATATTTGATAGTATTTGTCTTTCATATAAACAAACGGGCGGTGGGGTAGCCTTGTGGTTAAAGCAGTTGCTCGTCTAGCCGAAGACCCGGGTTCGATTCCCCACATGGGTACAATGTGTAAAGTCCATTTCTAATGTCCCCCGAATATTGCTAAAGGAGGAGTAAAGCTTAACTCACTCACTCAGTCATTTAAACAAGTTCAACATAAGGACACTTAGCTTAAGGTATCGCAAACAAAATATAGCATTGATGATCTATTTTTACACTGTAGCTGATGAATTGTGTTGAAGACAAACAAAAGCAATTTTACTTTTTATATGTTTTGCTGTATTTGCTGTTCATGTCATATTATCATCTAAACCTATGATATTACACTTTGCACTCAGCATGCAAGTATCACCTCTTCGTTTATATCTAATATATCAAATGTATAAAATGTTAAACTAGATTCTAATCTTGTATACAATATGAATGTGTCATGACTGGTTTTCTTACAGGTGCGCAACCGCGCCATGTCAGGAATGTTTACCTTTTATTTACCTGTACTGTCTCTGTACAGGTAAGTTTACACATTCCACAGCAATATATGCCTGGTTACCTGGAATTTACAAGTTCTGGCTCTGAACAGGTGTATATATCCATTCTACAGCAATATATGCCTGGTTACCTGGAATTTACAAGTTCTGGCTCTGAAAAGGTGTATATACCCATTCTACAGCAATATTATAAGCATGCCTGTTGACCTGATAATTACCTGCTCTGTCTCTCTACAGAAATATTTACCAACTCTACAGCAATATATGCCTGTTTACCTGCTCTGTCTCTCTACAGAAATATTTACAATTCTACAGTAAGATATACCTGTTTACCTGCTCTGTCTCTCTACAGAAATATTTACCAATTCTGCAGCAATATATGCCTGTTTACCTGCTCTGTCTCTCTACAGAAATATTTACCAATTCTGCAGCAATATATGCCTGTTTACCTGCTCTGTCTCTCTACAGAAATATTTACCAATTCTGCAGCAATATATGCCTGTTTACCTGCTCTGTCTCTCTACAGAAATATTTACCAATTCTACAGTAATATACACCTGTTTACCTGCTCTGTCTCTCTACAGAAATATTTACCAATACTGCAGCAACATTCTACAGCCTGTTTACCTGCTATTTGAGGGCCAATGTTATATATATTTACTTCATATTTACCAAACTACGGCCATATATTTACCTTTACTTCACGATTACCCGTCCTGGCGCTATTTCCGTATATCCCTTACTACGGCCTTATAACTAACCATCATCAACGAGGAAACGCCCGGGCGGTCTTAATCTCCAAATCAGATATAATATTTCAACGTCTCCCATTATGTATGTGTTTGAATGCGACAGGGCTGATAGAATCACGACTTAATGAGAGCATAGTTAGAGCTATCAAGAAACAGGGGGAAATTATAATCGAACTCTGTGATACAAACGTGAACTAATCCACGCCATGGTTCCGGATATTGGATGGCTTTCAAATGAAGAACACAAACCAATTGCTGATTTAATTGAATCTGGGTGTGACCATATAGGGTTTTAATCAATCATTCTGCATTGCAAAATCCAATTATAAAGGTTGCATGATCAAATCCTGCAATTAGTTTATTAATTCCGTGCAATACACGAGTGTATGGCAGATGCGTTTTGAATTCTTTCTCGTAACAATCTCAATCCTTAGTTTCCTTAGCGTTGCACAGTTAGCAATAAAATTGGGGAAAATACGTCTGTTGGATTAGGCACCGGTATCCAATCAAACAGACCCTCATAAAGCCAGCCCACGAATCGGCAGATCGGGACCTAACGTAATGCAATATCACCGCCACCGTCTGCACGTGACATTGTGCGCGAACACTGCGTGCGCGGTACCCAGAATGTATCAATTCCCCCTATTAGACAGAGCGGCCAATATCACTCTATACTTACCCCTAATGAAATAAAGGGGGCCAGGTAATGGGGTCCAACGTTGATTGAAAACACTTGTTAAAAACAACTCCAACTTAATTGATTGGCTGGAAGACAGTTATTTGAATTACACACTCGTGGTTCGTTCTTATTGCATTATTGCATGGATTTTCTGCTGATTAAGGGCGCTCTCTCCGGGCAACTAGTGGTCGGCCGAGGGCAGGGCCAATATATCGTTGATTATACCACTTCAAATGTAATGGAAGGTTTGCAATTTTGGGCAGCAATGTTTAATGCCGTCTATTTCATGTCCGGGTGATATTAAAGCCCAGTAATTGCGATCGATCTAGCTTTCAAGCCGAGGAGAGGGTAATTAGCTTGGTTTGTTTATTCTTCATTTCGAGCGAGCTCGCTTACTCCGGCCAGCCATGTGCTTTCATTTCCCTCCGTTAATGAGCTCGGGCAACCCGACCCCCCCTACGTCTGAAAATGGACCGACCGGCGAGTCATTATCGGCGTATACTGAACGGCGATTCGTCGACTGGATATCATTAGAGGACCCATTCATAGCTCAGTCGTTGTGCTTCGCGCTAATGAGGTAACCCAAAGTGATATGACAAGCCAAATTACTGGAGTTGGGATGCTTCGTCCGACACGGCCTGAATTAAAGATCGGCCATCAGTACGAGCGAGACTAGTGACGAGGACGGACGGACCGCCGTGTTGTGATGTTACGGAAAGATACCGTGCTCTGAAACTGTAGTAACTGCGGTGAAAACTGTCTACTCCCTACCACAGGATAACACAGGTTCGGAGTACTCTACCCAGGAAGGCTACGATTCTCATACTAACTGGACTTGTCAGTTAATCTTGGGCTAACATTGGTGGCAGACCTGCAGAAGATGGACCCAGCGGTGTCCGCATTCAACTCTATGACAAACGGTAAGTGTGATCTTGTGATCAACACACACACTCGCACACACACAACACGTCACTCAACGTATCGTGCACATGAGCCTTGCGCGTCTCAGACCACGCGCTCGACACAAAGCCTGACATTTCTAACTGACGGGGTACTGGCAACGATTTATAACCGCAAGTGAATGTTTTGACAGTTGAATAGAGATTTTGGATACGACAAAGAAGGATATGCCTTTGGTGTTACATTCGAGATCGGGGTTCTCAATCCATTGTGACTATTTGCCACGTGCTTGTGGCGTTCTCCCATCATTTGGCCCAGAACATACTGTCAGTAGTTGTGTGAGGTAAAGCCTCGCCTCAACGTGTAAGTCAGCCGTTCTCAAAGTGTGTACAATAGCTAATAGATTAGCCCGAGGCCCTGTCCGGCGACCGCTCTCGCCCATGTGGGTTCGCTTGTTTTGGTTGTGGCGGCCTCCGATCGACAAGAGAGCGCTGGATTCTGGCGTCTGGAATTATCGTTGTTCTGTTTTGAATCATGCGTTGCTTGATTACATGAAACACGTGTCAATTCTTGTTAGTTCTGACACAGATGTACAAAAAAACCCGTCTTGAGCCGACCTTGTAACAAACACAACAGCCTTCGTCAAAGGCCGTGCAGACGGGTGATCACAGAAGGTGATTTCAAATCTGTTATTTTCACGAATCTGAAATAAATATGTGAGGGTGGTTCGTTCCGAATGTTCCCGTACGATCGATCCGTGTTTGTGTGGAGTTACACCGCTGATGACACGCCAAGCTAAATAGTTATCACCGCCTTTGATCTTTCAAGGGGGGGGAATGTTTCCTTTTTTTAACTGGGGAGGGATTCGCGTAACTAGTTGTAACGTCACGCCTCTCAAACATCCTCACACGAGAGTATCGGGACTAAAACTGACTCACTTGAAACGCGGTCCAGTTGTGATTAGTCATAGAACGGACTCATGGTAAATGCACCTCTTTCGGCAGATCTCAATAATAACGCATCGCTTCCGATTATATTGGTGGTCTCTCTCTGTAGGGCAACTTGAGGTCCGCGTTGGACTGCCAATGCGACTTCGCTAATAAGACGCGGCCGTTGTGGTTGTTGAAGATGAGGTTTTGCACTATTACTTTCAATAGCCTTCATTGCCTCGACAGACCCTGTAGACGCCAAGTCAATCTACAGTCTGGACGCAACCCAAATTTCACTTAGGAATGCGATCGGTCTTGTTATGTAAGCCCAATACCTGTAGGCTATTTATCCAAGCATTGCGCGTTTATAATGGAGGCTGTTATGTTTAAACGCCATTATATAACATTCTATTTATGAGAATGTGTAACAGCAGCAATAAACTCCACAGTTATGCCATTGTCCGGTAATGTCCCCTTTTACAACTACCCCATCCCTCTACCACCACCCAAAAACACACGTGTCGAGTTGTTTTGAAATGCACGCGGGGCGGTCACATGCTTCCGTAAACCCTCAGTTGTGAGGTTGACTCCACTGGGGAGAGGTGGCCAGTGGTTATCCCACGTGTGCCCCATCTCTCAGGTTCTCAACTTGTCAGACAGGCAGCGTCAGTCGCGGTACAATCTCTGCTTGTATTAACACAAGTAAACTTGTCAGAGACATGCAAGGGTGACTAGCGTTCATTTGTCGGAGACAGATGTAGACTTGAATATTGCTCCCGAATCAAGTTAGTATCAGGATAAATAATATCATACAGCTCCCGAGATAAAGACCTGCATCGGGTGAAATGGAAATAATGGAACCCACGAGTTCTGATAAATAAACCCTCAGATCCCTTGAAATTCAGACCGTTGTCATATAGCTGGAACCTTGCTGACATCAAACAAAACAGATCCATTAAAACGGGGAGTCTGTTTTATAAAATATATACTCATGTATCGTATGTGCTAGACTAACGTTTAGTCCCTGAATACATATAATTTTGATAGTAGCAAATAAACCAATTTAAATTGAAAAGGAGCCCCCGGGAGACCAGAGAACCTGAGGGAATCTAGACTTGCTTCATTTAGGGCTTTAGCATTGCAGGGCGGGCTAACATTGGGGAAAATAATATTGTTCAGGGACTGTGAGACAGACTACGTATGTGCTAGACTAAGGCTTAGTCTCTGAATATATATAATTTTGATAGTAACAAACAAGCCCATTTATATTGAAAAGGAGCCCTAGGGAGACCAGAGATTCTGAACCTGAGGAAATGTAGACTTGCTTTATTTAGGGCTTTAGCATTGCATGGAGGGCTAAGCATTGGGGAAAACAATATGGTTCAGGGACTGTGAGACAGACTACGTATGTGCCAGCATTACTATAAATGTTCCGACGCTGTGTGTTATTGTAATGATGAATATGGTGACATGGGTCTATGGCCAGCGAGGTCACTGAGGTCATGTGGTAAGCCATTAGGACAGATCGTAATGATAGCCTTGTGATTATTCCCACCTATAGTTAGCTCCCGAAGATCACCGAACGTTGCTCTGGAGACTACAGTGGAAAATACTTTAGATGTGGGGATTATCATGGAGATAATTACCAGAGGTGTGGTCAAAACATTCACCAATGTTTATTTGTCACATATCATTTCTGATATCTGTTATATTCTTGTGTTGGTATCAAGGCCATGGTGAATGGCATTAGAATAGTCCTGACGGTGCTGTGGGCTGTTGTGGTCTGGCTGAAGCGCCTGTATTGATCTGAAAAGCTTGATATGAACCATTCTCTTGCACTGATGACCATTCCTGGGCCCCCTCCTGTCGTGTACTGGTCAACGCTCGAGAGTGACCAAACCTAGTGAAAGAACCTCAAAACTGTCGAAATTTTGGGCCCTTTGTTTGTTGCTCCGAGTTACAGGGTAGAATTGGTCCTCAGCTTACGTCGTGACAGAGCCCCCCCCCCCAACACACACACACCTCTTCCTTCTCTCGACCACTAGAGTCACCTCCCTCCTGGCCACACCATTACATACATGTGCCCCCACAACGGCAGCATTAGAGACATGTGCCCCAATGGCAGCTCTACATATATTTCCCCCTAATGACAGCTACAAAGACATGTGCCCCCAATGGCAGCTCCGCAAACAGCGACAGCATTATAGACATGTGCCCCCGTGGCAGCTCCACATATATGTGCCATCACAGTGACAGCATTATAGACATGTGCCCCCGTGGCAGCTCCACATATATGTGCCATCACAGTGGCAGCATTATAGACATGTGCCCCCGTGGCAGCTCCACATATATGTGCCATCACAGTGACAGCATTATAGACATGTGCCCCCGTGGCAGCTCCACATATATGTGCCATCACAGTGGCAGCATTATAGACATGTGCCCCCGTGGCAGCTCCACATATATGTGCGATCACTGGCAGCATTATAGACATGTGCCCCCGTGGCAGCTCCACATATATGTGGCATCACAGTGGCAGCATTATAGACATGTGCCCCCAATGGCAGGTCCACATATATGTGCCATCACAGTGACAGCATTATAGACATGTGCCCCCGTGGCAGCTCCACATACATGTGCCATCACAGTGGCAGCATTATAGACATGTGCCCCCGTGGCAGCTCCACATATATGTGGCATCACAGTGGCAGCATTATAGACATGTGCCCCCGTGGCAGCTCCACATATATGTGGCATCACAGTGACAGCATTATAGACATGTGCCCCCAATGGCAGCTTCACAAACGTGCCCACACAGCGGCAGAGTTGCACTTGTGCCCGTGGAGACACCAGTGTCGGGGGTTCAGTTCCTCCCAGACAGTGCTGCCTACATCTGCATATATTCATCCCCAGCTTCATCTACGGAAATAAAGCCGTCACACACGGAATTGATGAAGATTGCGCTCAGATTGTCTCTTTACATTTCAAGTTGCAAAACATCTTCGAGCGAAATTCTAAATACATATTTCCAAACAACTGCCTTCTACAGCACCGGGTTGGTGGACCTTTCCCAACACATATCCATTATTAATACTGAAACCAGTACCGTTAAAATGTCACGTATGCTTCAGACCTACAAGAAGCTATCGCCCCCAGCTGTATGAAGGTATGTACATCTACAGTACCTAGTCTCACTTTAAGTGTTACATATATCTAGTTGTCAGGAAAGTGGTGTTAATCATTGCAAAGAACATTCATTTCTCCTGCGGACGGCAGTGTTTTGCAGCTTGATCGAGGAATCTTCGGTGTGTCGCCTCTAATTGTCGTACAGATTCCATTGTATTTTTTTTTATAAAACGTACGTGATGTAATTGCTATCGGCTTAATGTCATGCATTAGTGTGAAGGCTGGCGTATGAACCGAACGCACTTTCATAATCGCAATATTGTCACAGCTGAACAGTGTGTGTGCCGAGGAGGGGTGGCGAGGGGGGTGGATGGAAATAGAAACTGTTCGAATTTCCTTCCCGTTGACAAAATAATAATCAGTGGAAAAGGTTTATGTGACATGGATTGATGGTGTTCTGTTTCCTAGGGAATTTTTATAACAGTGCAATCAGAACCCTTTTGTTGAAAAGGATACCAATTACATGGCACTGTGGTATTGAATGGAGGCTTAATGACAAAAGCACAGGTCTGATGCAGTCTAAGCACTTTCATTATAATGAATTATGAAGATCACTCGAGCGGAATATAGAACGATAATTTAGGGAGTATGATCGGTGGAAAATAAAAAAAAACATATTTCACTTATTTCTATGTGAGTGTTTTTGGTAAGACCGGTTTGAACAGTATTACAAACATTACGTGTTAACTCATTATGGGGTCGGCATGTCTTCTGTTTTATCTCTCTATCTCCAGGAATGGCATATTGGTAAACCGAGACTAATCCCAGGTTTTTGTGATCACAAGTTACCTGCCCTTGATTTTCATTAACATTTCCCAACCAATTAAACGTCGAGGTAAGGTATTGGGTGAAGAAAGTTCACATGAAGACACCCATGAAAATATATTTGTGGTCTTTCTTCTGCG